GCACAGGACTGGCCTCCTCCCACAGCCCCCAGAGCTGTAGGCCGCCCGCCTGCCTCCGCCGGGCACTGGGAGGGGGCACCTGAGACCAGGGAGGGCCTGCTCCAGTCCTCACAGCGCCCTCACCCTGGAGCCGCCTGTGGCCCCGGACTTCTGTGTGGCCCCGTGTCAGGGTCGAAGCCTGGACGAGCCAGGTGCACAGGTGCCTGTGGGTCAGAGTGGGGACCCCAAGAGCTGAGTCCCCAGACAGGTCAGCTCAGATGCCCGTGAGGTCCAGGCTGGCGCGTAAAGAGGCGGCGGGCGGCCTGGCCAGTGTGGCTCAGTGGGCAGGGTGTGGGCGTGCGGACTGGAGGGTCCCGGGTTTGATTCCGGTCAAGGGCATGTACCTGAGTGCAGGCTCCATCCCCAGCTCTGGTTGGGGTGCCTGCAGGAGGCAGCTGATGGCTGTGTCTCTCCCATCGATGTTTCTCTCTCTTTCCCCCTCCCTTCCGCTCTCTAACAACCAATGGGAAATGAGGATACAGAAACCCCACACAAAACAAAAAATTAAATTAACAATCAGTGGGAAAAGAGAGAGCGGGCTCCCCAGCTGCCCGCTGAGGCCGCCGTGTGCCCTCCTCGCCAGGTCCTCCACCTGCCGGGGGCGGGGGGCCCTCGGCCGACTTCCCAGGCCTGGCAAGCCAGACAGAAGTGCGCGGCGTGCCACCCGTGGGCGGACGGGGCTTCCACGTAGCCCAGGAGGAGCCTGGCAGCTCTTGGGCAGGGTGACCCCTCCGCACACCGTGTCTGCAGATCCAAGAGGAAGGCGGGGCTGTGGGAGTGGCAGGGGGGCCGAGGCCAGGAGGCCGGAGAGGAGGGCAGGATAGAAAGGCCCAGGGGGAGGTGGCCCCGAGGAGAGGGGGTTGGACAGACCCCGAAGGGGTGCAGACCCCTGTTTGCAGGCTCCCAGAGTGTGGCTCGGGGGTCGGGAGTCCCTGTAGTGTCTCCCGCATGCTGCTCCTCTCTCCCCTGTCATCTGGCCTCCTCCTCCCACTGCTTCCAGCCCCTGGGGGACGTCCACACTCCCTGCCTGTCCTGCCTGGTGGCCTTCCTCCTGGCCCCTCGATGTGCCTGTTCCTCCAGACCTTCCCGGGCTGGCCCCTGGTCAGGCATCCCCTCCAGGAGCCCCGAGCCTGACAAGTATACGTCATCCCCATCTTTCCCTTTGTCCTGTCCCTTCCCAGCCCAGGTCCCAAGGGAGCCGCCTGACCTGCAAGGTTCACATGGGCGCCCAGTGCCCCAGGGTGGGGACACGTGCTCACAGACGGCAGCACCCTCCGGCGGAGGCCTCCGCGGGGTCTGCAGGCCTAAGGCTCCCGCGGAGGTGGGGCCAGCTGACCCGGCCAGAGGGCTCTGAGAAGGCGAGAACCCCCAGGACAGAACGGGCCGCGTTCTGGTGGGGGCACAGGCTGGGCAGATCGGGCGGGCGGCACTCAGCAGAAACGGGCCCCGCCCCCTGCCCTGCTGATCTGGTCCCTCTGAGTGGGACTCAGCCGGCACCGGGAGGAAGCTTCTATGCGAGGGGACTAAACCCCTAGGAAGGACGAATCAGAACCACGGCTGTGCCAGGCGGGCAGGGCCTGCTGCAGGTGTCGCCACCCCTGCCAGCCTCGCCCTCGGGAGCAGTGGGCCCATGCAGCTGGCCGGGAGCTGGGGGAGGATTGTGAGCCCGGGGTGGTGGCCGCACAGCACCCTGGGGGACCTGCGGCTGCTGGTCAGAGCAGGTGGCATCCGTCCACAGACCAGGCCGGAAGCGGGTGGCGACCCTGGAATCGGCAGCCTTGACGGGCCTGAGCAGCAGGCTCTCGAAGAACATGCCGGACAGCGGGTCACCTGCACAGGACGCAGGCTGCCGTCGAGCGAGCTGTAAGCCACCCACAGCACTGCCCAGGGCAGAGCAGGAAGAGACGTGGTTTCTCAGCAGGCGGACCCGGCTCGGAGGGTTCTCGCAGGCCCGTCATTTCAGTGTCGGTGGTGGTGAAAATGCTAAAACTTTTCTTTTCCAATACGGCGAAGTGCTCCAATGGGAAAATAATAGGTTCAGCCCTAGCGGAGAGGCAGGCAGAGCTCAGAGCTCCGTTTTGAAGGCAGGGGTCCTGGCATCTGATGCATGAGCAGCAGGACAGAACAGGAAATGGAGACCTGGCCTGGCCGGTGGGCTCAGTGGATAGAGCACCGGCCTGTGGACTGAACGGTTTCAGGTTGATTCTGGTCAAAGGCACGTGCCCAGGCTGCAGGCTCAATCCCCAGTAGGGGGCGAGCAGGAGGCAGCTGATCAGTGATTTTCTCTCCTCATTGATGTTTCTATCTCTCTCTTCCTCCC